GTGCTGGGGGAGGGTGGGGAGTATGAGAGTTTGGCGCTCGATGGGCCCGGGTTCCTTTGGAGATCGAGGATTGAGGTTCGCGAGACGGAGACGCGGACGGGTGAGGGTGGCGTTGGGTATGTGAGGTTGAAAGGGGCTCGATGCGTGCCTAAGACGGCTGCGGAGGGAGATGCGATCACGCCGCAGTCGGTGAGACGGCCGATGCTGCTGGATGAGGCGTTTGCTCGAGTTCTGGATGATATACGGTCAGTTCCAGGAAGTTACGGAGGTGAAGCGCTGGCTGGATCGATCAGCGCTGGACGTATCAAGTGCGAGCCTTATCAATCGAGGAACGGCGGGATATGGCAAATCTGCAACATCACAGCGCCCGAGGCAGGCACCGACGCCGCTGAACAGATGAAAGGCATTGCCAGAGAGATCAGGACGATCCTGCAGTCTTCCGCTGACGTACCCCGATCGACTGAGGATATTGTCTTCACTACAGTGCTGCTCCGCTCCATGGCCGATTTCGCATCGATGAACAATACTTACGTCTCGCTTTTCAAGAAACCTAGCCCCCCGGCAAGAGCCACAGTGGCCTGCGGAGATGAGCTCCCTGAAGGCGTGAACGTCATGGTCTCCTTCATAGTTGATTTGGGAGACAGAGATTCCCGGCAAGGTCTCCACGTTCAGTCTCGTTCGTACTGGGCACCGGCCAACATTGGGCCGTATTCGCAAGCCATATCTATTCCTCTGCGGGGAGCCGAGCGTATAGTATACATTGCTGGGCAGATCCCTCTAGAGCCGGCCTCTATGGAGATGGTATGTGACCACGCACCTACGGACGAACAATTGTGGCTTTCGGATTACTCTCTAAGGGCAGTGCTGGCTCTTCAGCATATGTGGAGGATCGGTACAGCCATGCAGGTCGACTGGTGGCTTGGAGCAGTTGCATTTATAACAGGTGCAGAAAACATCGCTGCTAAGGCTCAAGTAGCCTGGCGCCTCTGGGAAAGCATGAACAGTCAACGTGATGATGAATCGGTCGACGAAGAAGAAGAGTCTACGTTGGACGTGTGGGATATCAAATACGGCCGCAGGGCACAAGAGCAAACCACCAAGGCGACGGTCTCGACCCCAATACCGAATTTCGACGTGCTGCAATCGAGCGGAGCGATTCCTCCCTTCCTAGCCGTCCAGGTCGAAGAACTACCTCGCGCCAGTGATATTGAATGGCAAGGTCTGGGCTACCGCTGCGATAGACTGAAATTGAACGCAGAAGAAACAGATCGAGGATGCACCATTAAGACAGTCACAGAACAGAAAGTGGGCTACACTACTATCGAGATTGACATAGGGGAGTCAGAATGCGATCTGAAGTCATCATGGGAGCAAATCCTTGCTGCCCACACAGAAACCCCAGGCTTAACGCACGCAGTTATCTATACCACAAAGACATTCCCTCTGGATACCTGGCCAGGGGAAGTCGTCCCATGCAAGTCAGTCTGGGGTCAGAAGGGACGCAGGCTGGCAGCTGGCATTATTTTCCAGAGCGTTGAGTCCTAGAGACCTTGGTCTATTGATGTAGTATCAATCGAGGCGATGCAAGTCCGAAAGCTGCGTTTCGCGAAAACGTGCATACAACCACACATGATTCCGTCGAGCGCCCTTCGAGGCTGATTGGGCATAATAATCCGAGATAAGCGTGATCAGACGTCAGTAAGAAACAGTAACCTACTACTGCGCCGCATTTTCGAATTTTGTCTTTGCATCTCTGCTTCCATTCGTAGACTCAGGGCGGCCAAGAATGGTTGGGACCAACGCGTGGCGCACCAACAGCAGACCTGTACCAATACTGACAGTTCACTGGATGGAATCGCTGACAGGGATTCTGCCTCAACAAAGATAGAAAATTCGATTGCCAGGATTTTAACATGAATTAGTCACCGATCTCGTGGTACAATCTTCCTTCCTGTCTGCTGGTGCTGGGTACTTTCGAGTGGTGCTACTCCTGAGACTCTACTAAGGTACATCATCGAAAGTCAAAAAGCATGTGATAAGCGAATAAATAGCACTTCCGCCTTTTGCGTCCAACCCAATAACAAGCGTCCATCCTCCGCCGCGTTCGCTTCAATCGCTACGAGCCAGTCTGTCCGTTCTGGCATTTGCGTGAGTGAAAGAACCGACACTCTCTTTTGTCTGAGAAGGGGCGCTTTTGCTAATTTACTTTCAACAGTCACTTCCTCTCCGCACTCCGGTTTCCCCGACATGACGTACTTGTTATCATAGAGACCCTTCCCGAAAACCATTCATGGCGCCATGGCCTCTAAGCTGAGCGAGGAGGAAGGGGGACTTATCCCCGGCCGAAACGCTGGCGACTTAGACATTCCTGCTGCTGATTTCCTACGGCAATTATCTCGTTCACCCCATCCATACCACCGAAAGGGCCTGAAATGTGCTGAGACACCGTCGGTGTCGACAGACCACAGCGACCAACCGTCTCGGAACTTGTCACAATGGGCCAAGACCTCCAGCGATAGCGGGACAGAAGCGGACGATGAGAGTACAGGCATCTTAAAAGGCCTGCCGGCCCCACCCCCACGGCTACGCAAAGGGCTTCGATCTAGCTGGAATGGCGTGGATGATAGTGACCTGTGGTATCCGACATTGCGGACATGGCCATCATTCGCCCGGTCGACGTCATCGCGAAGTTCCCGAAGAAGCTCGGGAGAGGAAGCACAAGCCGAAGTTCGCAAGCTGAGAGACAAGGCTCGCAGAAAGGTTCGAATTGAGGTGTTCCGGAGGCTGTCAGAGACCGCGTTGTTGCTCTCTGTAGGTGGTGTCGTCTTATGGCAGGATGGCGCCAGAGCGATTGCCCGAGAGTGGAGAAAAGGTTTGTGACTGACTCTTGTCTTGTGTCGGTGCTAGTTATGGCTTACTGATCTGGGATAGAGCTCCTTGCTCATGCTCTTCTTGTGACTGTGCTCTATGCGATGTACCCTTTACACCAGACTCGGCGCCTACGGTTCTCCAAACTATTTTCCTTCAAGGTTCCGTCGAAATTTGAGCCCGCTCCTCTCCTCTATCCGATCTTGATACCGATCTTCGTCTCGTTGTCGTTGACACGCCATAGACCTCCGTTAATACTACCCAACATCCTCCTCAGCCTCTCGTCGCTGCCTGCCCCGGTCGTTCCTCTACATGGTTTGGTTAATGGTCACAGCATTTCTCATTGGTTCATCACCTTGATACCCATATTGGTTTCGGAGCATTGGTCCGCAGACAGTTCGACACCTACACCTCTCTCTTTTCGTGGTCTTGATTCCGAGATTTTGACTCTTGTTTTTCCTTTGCACCAAGCATTGATACCCACTCTAGATTTCTTGTTGACTACTAGCATCCTTCCAGCGGAATTGCAGCTCCTGGCGACCGCATTGATTAATTTGTTTCTATTTGCGACCTCTCCACAAGCACAGATTCTCAAGGCCCTCCTCTGGCTCGGCGGTCTCTGCGTTCTCGCCTCTTGTCGGCATGTCCTTCGATGGGAGGTGGCTTTGGCAAGAATACCCACCTGGAAATTCAGGCGATCTCCCAGGTCATCGCGGTCACCGAAACATATCTTGAATTTGATCGACCACAAGGTCTGTCAGAGGTTGAGTCGGGCCGCTTCGTCCGAAGATGCCATGTCGGATAGCGATTACTCACCAGGCCGTTTGCTCAAATCACGCAAGACTATGCAGGAAACTCATGTCGTGATCAAAGAACCTGTCTCCGCCGCGGATAATGTGACGGCAGAGGAGATCTTTGAGCGGCATGCTCCTGCCATACACCGTCGGCGGCACACCATCTCAACTTTTGCGGAAGTTGTGCTCACCGAGCGTGTCCGGACGACCCCCAGTGGCAGGCGGAAGCGATCAATGGCCCCAGGGCTCTCGTCATTTCTCACAATGACTGTACCACAGGCTCAAGTACGCAAGTGGCTCTATGCTCTCTACGTATATGCTGCTGTACTAGTTATAATCCTCGGTCCCATTCGAAAATACGTTGGTGAACAAGCGTTGCATGGAGAAGAGCCATTTGGATGGGCCCTTGGCTATCTGTTCGGTAATATATCGTGGTTCAGGTTCTGGGTCGTTATGTGGAATCTGGACCACTGGATATCCCTACCTGCGCGCTTGGACGAGGAGGGTCTCGACGCTTATTGCTCGCTCGGCTGGGTTGAGCACCTTCGTCAAAGTGCTTTTGGCGAGGCGAATACGCGCCTGATCATCACTGCTTATTGTATCCTCGTGCTTCTGACAGGTATGGCCATCGTCTTCAAGCTCAGTTCCATCGCCGAAGTAGACACAAGACGCAAAGTCTTCCACGGCATGATGGTGGTGATGTTCCTCCCGACGGTCTTTGTCGACCCGGCATTCTGCGCTCTGGCTCTTGCATTGGTCTTGTCGGTCTTTCTCCTTCTGGACCTCTTCCGAGCCTCGCAACTTCCGCCGATATCCCGGCCATTGACGTATTTCCTGGCGCCCTATGTTGATGGTCGTGACCATCGGGGGCCTGTCATCATCTCACATATCTTTCTCCTCATCGGATGCTCCATCCCTCTATGGCTTTCCCTGGCTGATGTTCCGCGGACGGGAGATAGTCCTTGGAGCGGATGGAATATCAGCTCAAGGGATGTCAGTATGATCAGTGGTGTGATCTGCGTCGGCATGGGAGACGCGGCCGCCTCATTGATTGGTCGACGATTCGGTCGGCGCAAGTGGTTCTGGGGAGGCGGAAAATCCATTGAGGGGAGCGTGGCCTTTGTCATCGCCGTCCTCTGTGGGCTTTTGTTCGGGCGCATCTGGCTCGCGGTAGGACAATGGCCCATGAACGGATTGGATGAACTAGGGCGGTATTTCTGGCCGGTTACGGCTCTCAAAGCCATTCTGGCCGCTGCTGCTACCAGTGCTACCGAAGCGATTCTGACTGGATGCAATGATAATGTGGTCGTGCCGATTATACTGTGGTTGCTGGTCAGAGGACTTGGTCTATGATTGCATACCTGGATCTCATTTGATCTCAAGAGATTCCTCTAGAAGAATGATTACATGTCTGAATGTCCGCTTGTTATATAATCCTCAAATTGCCTCACTGGCGATTTGGCTTGCTGGAATAGAGCGCAGAGTTGTCCAGTACTTGAAATGAGCCACAACACTACTGGATATCATGCTAATATAAACCCGAACTTTCCTCTATTGAAGTTATTTAAGCATGATGCATGACTCCAGATTTTGAAGCGCAACACGGGCACGTCTAGAATCCTAGATCAACAGAGAACCGGAGATGAGCAAAGTCTGTTCGTCCATTCCAATGATGCAGTGGGTGCATCAGAACCAAGTATGAGGTACTGAAAGCAGTCAGTTACTTCAGTAACTTTAATCAGGATGGCAGATGAACAGTTGCGTAATTAGGCATGAATCTGCTAAGTTTATTGAGTCACTTGATTTACTCTCTGGCATTTGTTCAAGTACCTTCAAGTACGTACCTACAAGCACCCCCAACGAGGACCCTCATCTTCTGAAGTATCATTTGACTGAGTGTGTCATAATTGTGACAGTACCTGGGAAGTCGAGTCGCTTAGATCATGACAGATGATGTCTGCGAAATTTGTACAGGTAGGAATGACTACTTCTTTGTCTAGAGCTAGAGCACCCACAGAGTAAATTACTTTATTAGATATCAAGGCGACGCAATCGGTAACTCTTAAGGTATGGAAATTGTAAGATTCGAAACATAACCTTCCGGCCTCAGGCCATTGTCGATCATGGATCTCCGTGGTGGGGATCCAGGTAAGGTACCCAAGGTAGGGAGCTCCTTTACCTTAGGCGGCTTAGTCGCTTCTTGTCATTCGTCTTCATCATCCTTCCCCGAGTCATCCCCATTGCTCATCTTCTTCATCATTTCCATCCTTTCTTTTGTCAGATTGCATCATTGCCATCACGACCACTCCTCTTCTTACTCTGTCCATAACAAACCCAGGTAGGTAGTTATGTCCACGGGTGTGATATTGTTGTTACCTAAGTGTACCTAGGTCCTAGGCAAGTACCCCAACCAGCTTTCTCCATTGCCTCCTGCTTATCGCCCCATCATCTGCCTTGATTGGCCCTGATCATCTCCCGTTCCAATGCCGCCCTTCTGACCGCCTTACCTAAGACCTTCCCCCAGTCACATTACCTGACTTTTGCCTGAGGTTTATCTCCAAACATCTGTTATCGCTGGGTCACGCTCCTACTACTACTGCCTACTGCCTCTTCCCTCCCCCCAGTCGTTACGTTCCTTAGATCAAGCTGCCTCCCGCCTATCTCTCTATACTCATCTTCAACGACCAGCCGATCTTGTAGCCTCTTTTTGCCTTTTGACTTGAACGCCTCTGACTCTTCCATCAAGTTCTCATCAGCTTTAGTGTTCCTAACTCCTTTGCGTACCCTGGGGCTTTCCTTATCGAACAACCATTGTCCTCTGCCGCCTACGGTGCCTCACCGCTTTCTTACACCTGCATCTTTGGTTTCACCTGTCTCGATCCAGAACGCTGCGATAACTTAATTATATAAAGAGACTTTTGGTTTTGTACGGTCCAGGTCTCTGATCTCAAACAGCCAGCCCAGCCTTTTCTGCCACAGTTCCACGGCTCCTAACTCACCTTCCATACTTGTCTCCCGACGGTTCCATCTCTGCCTATTGCCTCCAGCCTTCCCGGTTCACTGGCACGTCAGAGCTCATCTATTGCTCCCCTGATGGGCCTCCTCTATCATCCTTCGTCGACGTTACTGCTGCTGCTGCTGAGGTAGTCGTGTGGTTGACGGGACGGGTTTTGGTTGCTGCAGACGCTCCTTCAACAGAAGCTGATTAGAGGCCATGACGTCCACTCACCACTCGAGGAGGTCGAGGGAGACCCCTCGCCCCGAGATGTCTATCGGTCGCTACACAAGGCTGGATGAGATCGGCCGAGGGAGCTTTGCTACGGTTTACCAGGGTGTTCATACTGTGAGTTTTACTGGATTCAGCCTTATCAATATCCCGAGTCTCCCTCGTGGTCATGATAATGCCTCCTTGATTCATAGGCATGTCTTGCTAATCTGTTCGGAAAATCTACTAGAAAACACGCACGTATGTCGCCATCAAGTCGGTCAACCTCTCGAAGTTGAATAAGAAATTGAAGGACAACTTGTCTTCTGAAATTCATATCCTCAAAGGCCTCTACCATCCACACATCGTTGCGCTAATCGATTGCCATGAAACTACGTCCCACATTCATCTGGTGATGGAATACTGCGCCCTGGGCGACCTGTCCCTATTCATTAAGCGTCGAGACACTCTTGGAGATCATAGGTACACACGGGATATGATCGCCAAGTATCCGAATCCTCCCGGTGGCGCCCTCAACGAAGTTGTCGTCCGGCATTTCCTCAAGCAACTGGCGAGCGCCCTGAAATTTCTTCGCGACCGAAACCTCATTCATCGTGATATCAAGCCACAAAACCTCCTGCTTTGTCCTTCGCCCTCGTCCTATCGTAGTGGCGTCACTCAAGTGGTACCATTCAAAGGCTCCGAAGATTCCTTCAACCCTGCAACCGGGCTCGAGTCACTACCTCTCCTCAAGATTGCGGACTTTGGATTTGCCCGATCTCTTCCTGCCACTTCACTGGCGGAAACGTTATGTGGCTCGCCCTTATACATGGCTCCCGAGATCCTCCGGTACGAAAAGTATGACGCCAAAGCTGACCTCTGGTCTGTGGGCACGGTGCTGTACGAGATGGTCGTGGGCAAGCCTCCTTTCAGAGCGACAAATCATGTGGAACTTCTTCGCAAGATCGAGAAAGGAGAGGATAGGATCAAATTTCCCGAGGAGAACCCGGCATCTGATGAAATCAAGGCGCTCATTCGGGCTCTCTTGAAGAGAAATCCCGTTGAGCGATTGAATTTTCCCGACTTCTTTGAAAATGACGTTATCACAAGTCCTATTCCTGGCTTAGTGGCCGACGATCAACCATCGATACCCCGGCGCCTCTCTGCTGATCCTGACACAGCAGATTCAACACCGAGACCCGATTCTCGATCTGGAGCCAATGTTCCAGGCGGTACGGGGCGCGAAAGAGAGGTTTCGTATTTGCCAAAGCGAGATGATGGAGCTACACAGCGGCCCCCTTCTCAATACCAGAAATCAGGCACTCCCCCGGCTTCAACGCCTATGCGCCGAATAGGAAGCGCTGACAGGCCTCCATCTACTCCCAGAGAGTCAGAGCCACCGATGACATACCCTCAAAGACCTAGTGCTGTCAGCCATGCAACTGCCCCGGGACGTCAAGAACTTTTTGATCGCAGTGCTGCATTTACAGCCATGGAGCGACAGAGGAGTCGGAACACATTTTCAGAAGGTTCTCCGCAGGTGGACAGACAGGCAGACAAGATGAAGGAAGAAAGGGAACGCGCTGCACAAGATGTTGCTTTCGAGAGGGACTATGTCGTTGTGGAAAAGCGTGCGGTGGAAGTGAACGCTTTTGCAGATGAGTTGGCGCATAGCCCCCGCATTCAGGGTGGCATTTCAAGAGGTGCCCAGACTGGTACCATATCCCGTCGATCAACAGTGCACGGTGCAACGCAGTCGAACCCTTCATCGCCTCAAGCGACTGTCGGCAAGGCCATGCAGGTCCTTTCAGGACGTTCTCGTGCCGATTCAACGCACAACCGTCAGAGCTCATATGAGCGTCGATATGGACAAAGTCCGACCTCTGCAACGTCTGCCATCTCGAAGGCGCTCAATATGGCTAGCGGACGCTTGTTTGGCATGGGGTTTTCTCCGCCTCTGGCCATTACGAAGGGGGGACGGTCGCCTCCTCTTGCTTACAACCCATTTCCCGCATATCCTGCGGCGCATGGCAGCTTGATGATTGGCGATGGGGCGAAGAATAATGTGGCCTTGGATGAGGATACAAAGACTGTCCAAATTCTGGAAGAATGTGCTACTCGCAGTGACGTCGTATACGGGTTTGCTGAAGTCAAATATAAGCAGCTCATTCCCCTTGCCCCGTCAGTCCAGACCGACCCATCATCCAAAGGCAATCTGGCCGGAGATAGGGAGAATCCTGACTCGGCTGATGGAGGTTTAACGGTAGATGCCATTGTGACTTTGTCGGAGGAAGCCTTGGTTCTTTATGTCAAAGCACTGTCTTTACTGGCGAAGTCGATGGACATAGCAGGAGCCTGGTGGGCGCGGAAGAATCGCGTAGATGGTTTTGGTGATTCAGCCATGAGCAGAGCTGATGCGGCGAGTACACTGGCTGGAACTCGCATCAACAATGTCGTTCAGTGGGTGCGGAACCGATTCAACGAAGTGTTAGAGAAGGGAGAATTCGTCCGTCTCAAGCTAATCGAGGCACAAAAGCGGTTGCCGCCCGACCATCCTAGCCATCCCAACAACCACTCGGTTGGCTCTTCGCTGGGCTCAGGAGCATCTGTGGACGTTGTTGTGAGCCCTGGCGTCTCCGCAGAGAAGCTTATGTATGACCGTGCGCTGGAAATGAGTCGCACGGCGGCCATTAACGAGCTTACCGGCGAGGACCTGTCAGGGTGCGAAATAGCGTACGTGACGGCCATTCGAATGCTGGAGGCTGTACTGGAGAATGGCGAAGTACCGCGATTTGGGCAAGGCAAAGACGACACGTCCAAGGATAGTGACAAAATTGTGCTTGATGCGGTACAGGCTGAAGAACGACAAGTTGTGGTAAAGCGTGAGTCGCTCCCCGCCTAGCAGGAATCCAACTAGTGCTGACAATCCATGCAGTCGTCTCCAGCATCCGGAGTCGGCTGGCAGCTCTTCGCAAGAAGCTGGCGATTCTTGCGAAACGAGCACCGACACCCTCTGCTAATGTCTCCAGCAAGATGGCACCGTCAAATCCGGTCTCTGTGGGTGCAACACCACCGAAGTGAGCATGCGGCCTTCATTGAGTATCTCAAACCACACCACAATTCACGCATATGACTTATTCCCCTTAGT